GGGTGACGATCCTGCCACTTCTGATGGTGATATTTGTCTCACCAGCACCCTTGCGTCGCTTAAGTTCCTCTCTCAGTTTCCGATTTGCCTCTCTTTCTTTTTTGGTCAGGTCTGGGGACTTCATAACTTCATAACCAGGCGAAAATTATTATACTTGACCTCAAAATGTAAAAAACGCTTCATTTTCCTTAAAATTGCAAGTTAAATGTAGTATAACCCAAGTTTTCACCATTCCGTCATTTCAAAAAATCATTAAAAATATCATTCGACGGTCAATTTCCTTGTGCAACGGTCAGATTAAAGATAATTTTATAGAGACTTAGTAGATACTTAAATTAGCGTGCACTTTTTTGATACGTGATGCACTAATGAGTTTTAGTGGGCGAACGGCCGAAAAATTACCTTCCGTTCCCATAAATGGGAACGGAAGGCCCGTTCCCATATGGGAACCAAAATGTTCCCATATGGGAACGGTTCCCAAAAATGGGCCCGTTCCCATATTTCGGAACTCCGTTCCCAAAAATGGGAACGTTCCTATATTTGGGTACTCATGACCATAGTTCCGCCTACTGAGCAGGGGAATCTGGTGCTAGACTGACTGAAGTGCCAAACATATTCCGTGACCATCATTAGCCAAAAATTATGCTGCTGCTTGGCGCCAAAAATTCAGCCACTGAATTGCCAGCCATGCACTGAATTTGGCGCATGCAAAAATATGCCGCACGTGCGCTGAAACTTTCCGTTAATCCCACCACTACGCCAGACATATTCGACAAAACATGTTATTTTCAGTCTGGGATTACCCTAGCCTACCAAAGCACACCCTTGCCTCAATTTTCAAGACTTGTGACGAGGTTAGAAAATGTGGTCAAAATTGATTAGGGTACTTTCCTCCCTTTTATTTTGGACTAGCATATTACTATAATGGACAGGAACGAACAGGTTCTAAGAAAAGCATTTTCATGTATTGGAATAATTGAAAATGCATTACAGTTCCTCTCACCTATAAGAAATAACCGCAAAATCCAGCGACCAACGCACACAACGCAGCACACAACTCAAGACACAACTTCTCCTTTCCACACGCACAATTCATTAGAAGTCGTTCACCCAGACATCACTAACTTGGATTTATGACGTAATTATCATACTGCCTGTGAATTGGCCGATATGATTTTAACATCGCGAAGTCTATAAATCATGTAAGATTTTTCTTTGCATGAAGTGTTAAAAAGACAAAAAATACAAAATATGTTGAGATAAGAACCTCTCTGAATAGTGTTTAGATAATTATCATTCAAATGAACATGTGCATTTGGAAATAATGCGCATTTGTCCTCATGACGTCATATTTACAAATGAAGATCACAGAATACTATGGACCAGGGGGGTTCGCTCCCGTGCCTTCAGCATTACGAAAAATGGCAACAGCCCGTGAGCAGCATCAGCGCTCACGCACATGTTCAAGGAAAACGACATGTAATGGACTGCTAACGACGGCCCTCTCCACCAATCAGCGCTCGGCATCTCGAGCGCTGATTGGCTGGTAGCAAACGCGTCATATTTGGGTCTCATTTTTTGCGATCAGTGAACGCGTTATTTAATACACAGTGGCCTATGGAGAATGGCACGCGGAACTGAAGGTCAGTGTTTTATTGCTTCGTACTTGCGAATGGGGGTATTTGAGTGGCATTTGACACCATTTTCGAAATCTACAGTGAATTTCTGATCGACTCATGTATATATTTTTATGAATTTGACAGTGTTAGTGCTACATAGTCGGTGTTTTATGTTGGTGTTGTTTCTCTCGACCTTTGTCTTGGACTCTTATCCTATCTTTTCTCGAAAATGCTTGCCATAACCAGGTCTTAACTGTATCTGTATAAAGGGAATATGTGTTGAATATGAGGAGAAGGTAGTAATGACCACTCTGCCTATCAAACTGCCAGAAGGTGTGCTTGTAAGGTGATTGAAACTGCAGTACAGGTTGCAGATGTGGGTTTGACATTAGCATTGTTGTTGTAACCCCACTTGCTCTAATAAAATGGCAACATGGGGTTATGTACCCACTATTGCACAGCCTGGTATCAAGCTGGTTGATATGTGGAGGATAATGAAAGTATAAAAACTTTTCTTTAGTGAATAGGAGTGTTGCGTCTTGTGATTTATGTCAAGTCATTTTAAATGAAATGATTGTGATTGTAACTTTTACTTCAATTATTATTGCTAGTTTTGACCTTTTTAATCATCAAGTTTAATGTGTACCAATTTCATATGCCTGTGTAATGTCTGTGCGGCTTTGTGCAGTGAGCGTGTCTTGAAACAAACCAATTTATTTTGTACCCTTTTTTTACCTCAACAAATGTATGTCAAAGGACAAAAATGTCATGTCTATTATCATTGACACTACTACAGCTAACTTTGCCTATATTCCTATCTTTCAGAGGCATTCATCTGCTTTCCAGTGCAGTACCTAGGAGGCTGCAACTGAAACTCGCGCAAAGGCAACCAAGTGTCACTTCATCAGCCTACAGTAACAGCCCATCTGTAATCAAGATATGGGTGAAGTGGCATAGAAGAACAACCAGTAAACATGAAAAGATGTATTTTGTTTTGAACTATTTCTTAGCATAACAGAACAGCACAATGCACACTTACTGCTTTTTATGTTTGCCCTGTGTGCAGTTTTGAATAATTTTAACTATGAAATGCTTTTGCTAACTACTCTCTTTACATAAGCTTCCTTTGTCATGCCTGTGTAATTTTGAGTTTACATGCATGATGTAGTCATGTTAGCATGTATTTCCCTTGTCTTCATAAAACTACTTCCAAGCATTTGTTATGGACATTGGTGCTACCTATATATGATGCTTCAGATGTGTCCAGTAGTTGATGAAGGGAGAAGAGTAGTAGGACAGCTGATAGGCTGATAGCTATTACCCAAAATATGTGCTTGTCTGCACTTCGGGCTGTTCCATCATATGCAACCTCTATTTACTTCCTTGCATTAGAAACACCCCATCTTTTGTTTCTTTCCTGTGCGCCCATTGTTTCCGTGGTGCTATAAACGTCAAGTTTGAAGTTGGTATCCAAGTGAGCAAAAGTTGCATTATTTCAGGCCGTCTTGAATCATTCGTCTTGAATTATATCCCTAACTGACATCCTGTTATTTGTCCTGCAATGTCTGTCATGCCTGTGTCCGCCCTTACCTCCGGCTCCAGCCTCCAACCAGGCCTGCTGAGCTCTGTCGCCGGCGCGGTGTGTCGCAACGTGCTGTTTCTCCACTCCACCCGACAGCTGCTAGGAATCGTCCTGTGCCATGCGCCATGCGACCAAGGCTATATAACCCATGCGACACAGCAATTGTAAGCTGCAGGTCACATTCGGACTGATTGGCTCCGCGTATGTGCATCCGGCCGGGTGCTAGTCGATATCAGGGACGTGGGTCGGACTGTTGTGGCGGCGTGCACTGTGCTGGTTGAAGTTGTTGTATTTCTGTTAGTGAAAAGCATTAATACATAACCGTGGCCGCAGCCCAATGTTATTGTGGATTTCAGAGGGAGTGGCCAGTCAGGAGGGCCCCATGTGGGTATAGATCCAGTGTCCAGTGGGATTGGCTAAGATTTCCGGCGATTGATAAACGCTTCTATGATAGTAAACCTATTGAGTTATGAGGGGAGGTCACGTGAGGGACTGACCTTACTAAACTCTTGTGAAAACACGACACATACGAACGGTAAGAAACTGACAGCTCTTCTTTCTGCCAAGTGTCATCTTTCTGTGAAGGATTTCTTGGCACTGAGTGTCCAGAAATTGCGTTGCTTTTGGACTGTGTAGAGGCTCACGAGTGACAACATAGGTCAACAACCTGACGTACCTTAAATATGCGACTTGTACCAGAAGATCCAGCTTGATCAAAAGATTGTACATGTCAAATTTCAGCTCTTTAGCTCAAAAGAATTTTGAGTTATCGTAAAAGCCGTCAGTGTGGCACCGTATCGCCTCCCCGCGCGGTCGGAAGGTAAAAGTTCGCCGGCTCTAACTAAACAAATAGTCGTCGTATCGCAAATTCATTGACGGCGTTCGAAGCGTCGTTCAATTTACTTTCGAAACATATCCTAACATTAACATTTATCTGCCTAGCGCAGTCTCCAACAAGCAAAAGTTCCGTGCATTCATCCCCATACAGTGTTAGCGGCCGCCGGCCGCCGGCCGCTGACCCACATTCGCGTCATCAGGGAATGCCGCAACTAATTTATTGTTTCCAACTTTTTTCCCGGAGCGTTCTACCTGGTTTATATAGCCTTGCTATGGACGCAAAAAGCCGGCGTCCGAAAATTTTATTTTACAATTACGACGCGGTGAAAAGAAATCCGTTACTAAAATACACTTTCTCAGCATCTGTATACTTAAATATAGATAATATAAAATGATAACCCCTGTAACGACGCAATTTCCATCGCATTGAAACTTCCCCAAGTATAAAGGATTGTTCTGTCCAGTGTCCTCTTTTACATGGCCTTGATGTTCGTCATTCAACTCAATCTAAAATAACACATCAACATCGTCAATAGTAGTGAATGAATGAGCTTTTCTTTTTTTACAGGTGAAACAGGCTTGCAACGCTTGCAACAGGCACACCTCTACTGGCAGTCATTCAATAACCTGACCGCTACATCCTGACTTGACCACCTACCTTTCATACAATCATTCCGCGGCCGCCAATTTCACAGTTTTGTTACATCAGCCTCTGAGGAATGAGGAGACCCTTCCCCATGAACAAAAGAAAGTGCCCAGAAGGCATTTCAGGCATTTACCATTTGCGCATCTTCCGAAAATTACAAATTTTGTCGTTCCACCACAAAGAAAAAGTAGTACACCCTATATATGGCCTTGAGTACACCCTGAAATGACCCCGTCCCACGGGGACCCGCAGCGTCCTCAGTCCTGCATCACATTTCTCGATGATAGTGCTAGAACCGATCCGAACGTGATACACATTCTCGCTTACCGTAATTCTCATATAATGATCAAAAACAACACACAATAACAATGAACATGGTCCTGACGTGATTGGGTCGAGCATCGCCTCCAAACACGGTCGGCAAAGACACCTGGTCCCAGACGATCGGCAACATGCGACCCTTCTACATGTAGCAGAGTCGAGACATTTGAAACAGAAAATGCACATCGGAGGCACTTTCTCAGCGACATCGAGTAGCAAAAATCTGGCATGCGCTTGAGGAACAAACTATCGACATAGGTACTCGGAGTCGGCTCTCTGAAGTCAGCATTTCACGTCAGCAACGGTCACTAACGCAGTCATCACAATCAAAAACCTGCTGGTTACATACTGCCAATAAATCAACCATAAATACCGTACCTACTCCTTCCCACTGGAATGCCGTGTCAATATTAAGCCGAATGCAGCGATCCGACCCTCTCAACCCACTCGCGTCCCTTTCCCTGAGTTTGACGGTAGTTGGTATCTGAGCTCGCAGCTGCCCCTCGCCCACCCGTCTCCAGCCGTCCTCACAATGGCCCGAGCCCCGGCGCCGCCTGTCCGCCGCCGTCGCCTGCCGCTGCCAGCTCCGCCGGGCGGACCGGGGGAGGCGGCGGGGGATGCCAGGGGGCGCCGTACGGCGGCGGCACGGCCGGCATCTGAATCTGCGCCGTGCCGCCGCCGGGGGTGCTGAGCTGCACCTGGATGGGCCCGAGCGGCGCGGGCACCGCCGGCGCGCCCGCGCCCGGACCGGCCGTGCACGTCTCGCTGTGCCGCTTCAGCGAGCTGAGTAGCCGGAACGAGGCGGAGCAGGAGGAGCACCTGGGGGAGAGAGTGGAGAACGTCACACCGGGTGGAGAACGTCACACCAGGTGGAGAACGTCACACCGGGTGTCAGATGGGCGTGGACAGTCAGGACGATTTAGCTAAATAACTGCCAAACAAATAACTCATGATACTAATGAAATAAAATAGAAATGCAAAAACACGCCAAGACCCATCGTAGTAACATTCTGCCCCCAAATACCCCATCACTCACTGCTCACGACCCATACACAATTCTGAAAAAAAATTCTTCCTCTACCGGACGCCCACTCAGCCTCGTCTTTGCATACCTCCCGTCTGGTACCGATCCCGACCCCCCGCGGCGCCCACTGACCTGTAGCGCCGCTCGGACCCCGCCGCCCGCTAACCTGTAGGGCCTCTCGCCGGTGTGTATCCGCTGGTGGACCGTGTACGCCGACTGACTGGTGAACTGACGGTCGCAGTGCGCGCAGCTGAACCGCGCCGGGTTCGTGTGCTGGTTACGGTGCGCCCACAGACACGAGCGCCGACCGTACGACTTGCCGCACACCTCGCACGTGTACGGCCGCTGACCTGCGGGGAACACGGGATCAGAGGTCACTATACGATTTGCGCAGAGAGGGTCAGCTCAGATGTCAGAGGGGTCAGCGAGGGTCAGATCAGATGGGTTAGAGGTCGTGGTCGCAAGGTGTCGAGTTTGACCGGACCGGATATCATATTGAGACCAAAAATCGTGCCTAATTAGATTATGTTTGGAGCAATTCATCAAAATAGCGTTGCTTGAAGTTCAATGGACATATTTTGGCAGCCCTTTTCTAGACTATCATCACGTCAGAAATATGGGATGCGATGGAGTCATGGACAGCATACTATAATTATATATAGCTGTTATAGCTGTAATACCGTGTCGGTTCCGATTCATATATCTTACAAACGGTACGTTCAACCCCATTGTATGCCATAAATTTGTGACGCATCAGACTCGAGGTAAAGAAACAACGTTTTAGGAAATGCCGATGCCAACGTAATTAAAATATAAAACCCACTGAACACGATTCAGAAAAAAAAATTACCGGCAAAGCACAAGTTACAACCAAATCAGCCAAAAACCCTGGCTCTGGTCGAGCGCCCACACGTCCAGTGACGCTCACCTGAGTGTACGCTGAGGTGTTCTTTGTACGCGTCCTCGTAGGTGAAGCCCTTCCCACAGACGTCGCAGACGAACGGCAGCGGCCCCGTGTGGCGGGCGCGGTGCGCGCGCAGCGACCGCTTCCTCATGAAGCCGTGGCCGCAGAACTCGCACGTGTGCGGCTGGTGGCGGCGCTTGTCGTGCGTCTTCATGTGCGCCGCCAGCCGCCGCGAGCTGGGGAACTCACGCGAGCACAGGCCGCAGCGCAGCGTCCGGTTCTCGTGTCGCTCCAGGTGTTCGGCCAGGCTCTCCTTCAGGTGGAACATCTCGGCGCATAGGTGGCACTTGTGCGGCTTGTCGCCCGTGTGAGTGCGCCGGTGCGCGCGCAGCGAGGAGAACGCCACGAACCGCTTGCCGCACTCATCACAGCCGTAGGGCGTCTCGCCCGTGTGTCGCCGCATGTGCTCGCGCATGCTGTCCTTGCGCAGCTGTTTGTGGCACACGGTGCAGGTGTCCATGTGGGCGGCCGCGTGCGCCGCCAGCGCCTCCTCGGCCCAGAAGCCCTGGCCGCAGAAGGCGCACACATGGATGTCGGGCGCATCCGGCGGGTGGGCGCTGCCGTGCGCCTCCAGGGCCGCCCGGTCCGCGCACACCACTCCGCACTTGAGGCAGGCGGCCAGCTGGCGCGTGGACAGCTGGTGCTGCCGCGTGTGCCGCTTCAGCTGCGGCAGCTGCGAGAAGGCGCGTCCGCACAGCGCGCAGCTCCACAGCACGGCCGGCGCGCACGAGGAGCGGTGCTGCGCCAGCTCGGCGGCGTCCGCGAACCCCGCCCCGCACTGCTCGCACCGCGGGCCCGCGGGAACAGACTCCTTCTCGTCAGACTCCTCCCCCGGCTGTTCTGCGGGAGCGGCCGGACGGCGACGGCGCAGCGCCCGCCGCGGGCCGCCCGCGCCCTGCTTACTCGCGCTGGCACGCAGCTCTTTGAGACTCTCAGGGTCCTCCGGGGCTGCCGAGTCCCCTGATTCGGCAGGGTGTCCCGACTCGTCCAGATCACCCGCTGTGCCGCCGGTATTATCTCCACCACTGTCCGAGAGCGGCGCTGGGTCCGGTGCAGGGGACTCCCTCGGACACGGGCGCCCAGACGCCAGTGGCGAGACAGTGGAGTCGTCAGGGGTGAACGGAGCTACACATGTGACGTCAGAAATGCCCAAACGATCACAAATGACGTCGACATTGACCGAAGCACAGCCGGTGACGTCCAAACTAGCCGGAGCGCCCCTGGTGACGTCAGCAGATCCTGGAGACCGGCTGATGACGTCGGAATCCACGGGAGTAACGCTGCTGGTTCGACCACGAGCACTGGTGATCGCAGCTGGAGCGCTGTCCACTTGAGAAAGCCGAGGTCGCTTCGCTGGCCTCTTCTGAAACAACAAGTGTTAGTAAGCAGCGATAAGGAAAATATTTGGAAAAGATCACATAGGTAAGCAAAGACGCAGAAAGGGAATTTTCTCTAATCGTTGAAAAAGAGCGCATGCAGGACCAAATATCTACAATTTGATCTCCAACAGCTTTTAGACAGACTGAAGACGAGAGGCGAACGTCTTGTACATGCTTCAAGTTACAATAAACAAAGCTGGTGTGCCAGTTTCCCCAAAAGATATTAACGGAATTGGCAAACACATTGCATTTGAGAATAACTCTAAAATATGGACAAAAATATGTGGAAATACAAGGAAAATGTGATAATGCAAGGCGATAATTTCTCAAGCTATAGCACAAATGCATGGCCTTTGCTACAGTGAAACATTGCTTACCATATGAACTTCGACCTCGAGGCTCGATTTGTCATTGAGCTTTCCATTCTCCACACTGGCCTTTGCCGCAGCGGCTGCCGTATCGATCGCTCTCTCCCCACACGTTTTACACAGAGGGATCGGAGCACCGCACGCCAGCATCTGACTGTCCTCCTCCTCAGCCATCTGCAGGCTCCTGAGCACTTCGTCTGCATCGCCCTGACTCCCAGCGGCGGTGGGCCGCAGCCGAGACACAGCGCTACGGTACGACTGTATGAGACTGGAGCGTACCGAGCGGCGCAGCGCGCGGCCGCGCACCTCCAGCGAGACAATGTCCTTCAGCAGCCGGAGGCAGGCGCCGCAGACGACCGCGGCGCGCTGCAGCAGCGGCGGCACGGGCCGCCGCAGCACGGCGCTCAGACAGTCGTCCGCCGAGCAGCCGTCGCCCACTGGCTCGGAGAGCGGACGGCAGTCGGCGCCGGACTGCTGCACAGAGTCGCAGATCAGACACCGCGCCTGCACGGCCGGCCGCTCCCTGCCACCGTCCGAGCCTAAAACAGCTGACGATGGGCCGCTGCCTGGGCCACAGGCGGTCAGGGTGGGTCCTCTGTCCAAGCCATAAGAGGCTTGGCCTGGGTTGGCGCCACTAGCTGAGCTTGACAGGATATCATCTGCAAAATTATCTGACATTCTGTGGAAGAAAAACATAATGTTAGCATTGTCATAAACAAGAGCACCCTAGTCTAGTGGCAAGACAATAGCATCTAAAATTGAGTCATGGTGTCAATAATCACTTGTGCCAGAATACCTGGCATCAGTTATATCTTCAGTTCCTGCCTACATCAAAACATGAACACTAGTGGCTGCAAGAGGGCATTTGGTTTGGAAAACTTGCCTGGTGGATGGAGCCCCTTTACTCCATCACTAATTGATTACCTATTTATTTTTCACATACAAAGCAAGTGATATATTTTTTAAGAAAGACTGCTTATATCTGTAGGTATGTAGATAAAAAAATGGAAGCACAATAAAGGAAATTATAAGTTGCTTTTTAATTTGCACAGAAAATACATTCCAGAAGTACCTGTGCGTGCACCAATACAATAGGCACAGCCAACAATAGGCACAGCCAATGAATAGGCACAGCCAACAGCTAAAATAATAGCCGGGTACACGACACAAATCGGAGCGGGCCAGCGAGGCCCGGGGGTGTTCACGGGCACCGCACACTGCTGCGTGCGGTGTGTGCGGTGCGTCCAGCAGGCGTGGGGGTAGGGGATGGGCAGGCGGTTCTGACGTCACGGCTGCGTGCGGTGGACGGTCCGCTGTGGCCAGTCCCGACCGGCCACAGCGGTCGCTGTGTGCGGTGACGGAAGGCTGACGTAGGGACGCAGTGGGCGGAGCTTGGAGGCTGTGTGCGGTCCGACCGCACACAGGGCCCGTGAACAGCCCCCCGGTAGTGGGCTAACATGCGGTTCACACCACACTCCACATGCCTACCCAACGTCTCACTACACACGCCTGCGATAAATGGTTACCAGTAATTAAATGCCCTACTTCGATTTTTATGACGAATTAAAAGTCATTCAATCCAAAAAAGCCTATAATACTCACTTACAAACAATATTTCCTCAGCAGCTATGCGCCGATGTGAGCCTGCCTTTACCTGGCATCGGAGTGGGCCAGCTAAGCCACCTGCCGCGGAGATGGCCAGGCTGGCCCACTGCGAATTTCCACGGAGAAAAAAATATGCAGATGTCACGCTGATTTACTGACTCAGCACCTTTTCACTGAATTTGTCACCTACGGTGGGCTACCGGCCTCGAAATGAGAACCTGGGCGCATGCGCGTATATCGCATCTAGGACAATTTTATTGTCAAGAAGAAGGAGATAGGTAATTATGGAACGTTTCTAAAGCTGTATTTGTATTTTGACGGTCTGTGGCTAAGGTAGGTGTTATGAATTTATGTTTTTAATGAATGTGCTGGTTCGTTTGCTTGCTGGCTGCTCTTACTTACCTACTTTCTTGCTCTTTCGTTTTGATTTTTTTGTTTTCCCTGCTAAATTTCAGTCGGTGACACTCCAGGGAAATAAGCTAAAATTAAAGCGCTCTATTTATTGCTCCCGCTACTTCACCGTCTCCCATAGGGTCCTGTGTTGAGCTGGTGTCGAGGCTCTAAAAATGACGCCGATTTTTGCACCCTTCTCACAAAAACCGCTCGGACCGCCTGGAAACTAATTGTTCCGCTCTAAAAATTTTATGATCGACGGAAAAATGAATGAGGAAAAGATTGGTCCTGAAATAATTCTGAACTCCCTGTAGAACATATCGAAATATGGCTGCAAACTAGGAGCATGTCAAAATCGACAAAACAATACAAATAAACTTACCAGGATTTTTTTATTTTCCGCATATTTACGTCTGGACAACGAGTTGCGGGGAAAAGTGCTGATTTTGTTGCAGTTTTAGGAGCCGGTGATTAGGCTGGATTTTTGGGTTACTTTTTCGTTCCGATTCATGTATTTCATAGTGTTTGGCTTTTGAATATTTTAGTTCTTTCAGATAAATATTACTTGCCTTACAACGTTTGTAAAAACGTTTCATTTTTTTATAAGCCGACGTTCAGAGACCTAAAAATACATCAGCACTACAATCATTGTAAACAAACAAATGGAGCACCACTTGGCTCTCTCTATCGTCTGGATAAAAATAGGCCCCGCCCATCCCAATCAGCTGCTGCATGACGAGTTGATGACAACAACTACTACTTACCAGCAACCAATCTAGGTATAGCGTACGTGACAGTAATGGTGCAGCGGTTGCAAAATATTACATTCTTATCAAACGGTTTTTGCTTTTAGGGCCTTGTTAGATGAGGATGAGGTTAGATTAGATGAGGTGTTGATGAAGGCAGGTATTTTTTAAAAATATTTTTTTGACTATTTTTTGCCCTTGTTTTACTTAATAGCTGAACCCGGGACCACCTGAAGTCTAAACCTTATTTTATATAACATGTCAATGCTGATGCTGTCTTGAAATGTGAAATTTAGACAATGGTAATAGGAATAATGAATAGCAATTTCACCAACAACATTTTAATATCTAGGAAGTGCAATTAAAATTAAAATCACTGTCTGCCACACTGCTCCGATCCTGGTCATGCAACCGACGTTCATGGGTGGTGTTTCACGGCAGAGCACTGCAGTGCGCTGCGTCATGCGTGTGTCGGAGCATTGCAATTGGGTTTCCATGGCAGTGTCAACAAACTTCACTGTGACGCTAAGCTATGACAGCATCCCAGAACGCTAGCACGCTGCGGTACCAGCACCAGCAGCATGCTAGCAGTATTTGAACTCAAACCTCTCACTCTGTTCTTGGTACGGTTTTTCAGAACCTCTCACTCTGTTCCAAACGCGATTCATCATAAACTAAGAGATCACATGCAACGTCATTTGAGTGATGCTATGGTATACCGTAGTTACCAGTGCACACAGTGTCTGGATGGTGAAACAGGGCCATTATTAATCACATTTGCTTTGCTTTGTTTCAGCAGAAACCTGTCTGCACATGGGAGGAGCGCAACAAAAGCCCATCAAGTTCATGCATGGCAGTGGATCTCAACAGGAGAAAACCAGAAAGAACATGGATGCTTGTAGATTGCAGTTGTACACTGCTGTTATCACCTGATGTGCGTGGCTGGCATTGCTCCTGGCAAGAACCACCTGCAAGTGATGAGATGGTGCCTCAGTCGTTGAGTGCGCTGCAGTGTGAGAGGCGCCCTGATCTCTACTTTGTGATGGGTTTCCATTGGAGGTTCAACTGAGAAGTGAGAACTGACTGTGACCATGCTTGAGCATGCCAGTGGAGCTTTACATGCTTAGGGCAGCTTTTGAACAGATGCTGACCATGGCATGTCCCATCCAGTTATCACGTGCACAGAATGGTGGGGGGAGGGCAACTCTGGGCTCTTGAGTCAGCCCTACTGCACAGGGGGTACAGATGGCCGCTTACGTTTGGTGTGTCCTGCACTGCATTATCAAGCCCAGTCTGCACCACAGGCAATGGGTCGGGCTGCACTATATTAAAGGCAGACTATCTTGCAAAGGAGGCTGGCATCCTCTCCCATAATGACACACCAAATGGCAATCATCGCTGCGATGATCACGAGGGTGTCCGCTTATCTGCCATGGTGAGGTGGAGAGGCAGCTGGCCTGAGGGATGGTTTTACTTCATCTGAGGCCCCCTTTCCTCGCCTGCCAGGCCCGGTCAAACGACCGCTTCACAGTGAACGACTTGCAGTGGATGCCGTCCCACAGCGCAACGAGCGCGCCGACCAGAGGCGGCGGCCAAGAGGCGGCCGCGCTCCCCCAGTCGACGGTCCCGGTGGACGTCGGCAACGCCCACCGCGCGACCATCAGATCGGCTCGCGACAGCGCCGTCGCCGACTGACCGCATGACTGGTATCTGTTCTTGATGTGGGACCGACTGCCACCGCCGCGCCGGTCGCGGAAGGGCATCGCTCATCGGCCATCGACGTCCACCAGCTTCGCGTGGGTCACTGTTCGGGCTGCCACCAATACACCGAATCGGATGGAACCCTGTCGGCGAATGCCGGCGGTGCCCCGACATCGACTGCGCGGCGGCCAGTGCATCGCGTGCCGGGAGGAGGCTGGCACCCCCGATCGGTCATTGGTCACAAACCGTGTCCCAGCTCATGACTGCATCCAGCGCAGCTCTATGAGATGTTCTGCTGCAGTCTGCCGCGTGTGTTGAAAGAAGAATGAACATGAGAAAACCTCAAAACTTTATGCCTATTCGTATTTGACCAGTATTGGAATAAGTTTGGATTTTGAGAATTTGTGTCCCTGTGCTTGTGCCTGTGTGGAAAGGCATGCTTTACGGTGTACCATCTCAATTTGTGCGGCTGCTGACAGGCCACCTGGGTGCCAACGTATGTGCGAATCCGCGAATACGTTGTGTTTCGTCAGTCAGTATCGTTCTGAAAATATTGACTGCAATAGGCTATATAGCGTATGACGGTTCAGCCCAGCAGTAATAACTGACCATTGATTGGGCGAATTTTGTGTGGTGGTTCGCTAATACATAACCTAAAGAGTGTTTTGCCGGAATCGTTTAGTAGCAGAACTGACCGGAATATAAGTAGAATGCAACGGCTTGAATCGTTAATTTGTTGAAACGATTGTTCTCTGAGACCACTGTGTAACTTTTGACCTGAGAATCACCAATTATAACGACAATGGGGAAGCAGTAGGCACTGTAGAGTGTAGGCAACACTATATAGTTGGGACACTTACGGAAGCACACGACTTACGCAGTGGACATCTGCATCATGCATGTTAAGGTTTACTGGGAAGAGTGAGAAATTAGTCAGAACATAACTGACTAAGGAAAATATGCGATATTTCCAATTGAGCTGGGGCGGAGAGGGGGAGGGGACGTGTGGTCAGCTATGCCAATAATTCATTCTCTTTATGCAGCTGTGTAAAAGGGCGTCCGTTTTTTGGGTGAGACCTTCCCCATCGGCCATTTCCAAGCTAAATCGTGGTGGAGAGTCTGGAGACCTCAGCCTCGGTAGTCGGTACCCTGCGCGCTGCGCCACCTTGCGAAACATAAAGCAGCAGTCCTGACATCTACAGGCGTGACTTTTCATGAAAGCGCGGATGTGTTCGCGCTTATGCGAAGAAAATTCTTCCGAGTATGGTTGATAATGAGATTAATTGTTGTCATTTATTTATTAATTCATTGGCAAAAATACCCTAATAAATCGGTAAAGTAGCTTGAACTGTATCGTATTTCCTTGGAAAAAAATGACGAACTCATCCTAAGACATCCAGATTATTGGATGCGTTCGTCAGTTGTAAGTAGTTCAAGTTTTTGGGAAAATTTGCTTGTGGAAAATCATAATATTTCAAAGATATGCCTATTTTCGAATAATCAATGCATTTATCTGCATTGAAAATGATTGTAAAGCAAAAGTGCAAAAGATTATTGTCAACTTATTTTCTCAAATCACAATTTACGAACGCACAAAACTCCAGCTTTTAATTTAGTGCGTGTGCGAATTGCGGTCAAGAAAAAAGATTTAAACTGTCTATATTCCTCTTAAAGCAATGAAGGATGAATGAGGAAAACGCTGTTTTGAACAACTATATATTTATTTTTCTAAATTAAGCAAAATTACAAAATTTTCAACTATTATTACATTTGCTCTCACAAAACCCATCACTTTTTAGCATGACGTCATGTCAGCCAAATTTACTAGCGCCATCTCTGGAGAGCATCTTTCGAAACCTCCAGACGATAGAGAGAGCCCACCACTTGGCTCTGTTCCAAGGCCATTTTTAGTTTATCTGGTGGTTTTCTTACTCTTGTACGTCGTTTTGTTGGATGTTTTGAATCCCTTAAGATTGACTTATATCATATATAAGAAGCATGTTGACTGAAAACAATCTGAAGTATCCAGGAGGCTGACAGAGGTCCTGACTCCTGAGGCGCACCTCCTGAGCAATATCAATATTGATATCAAGTCAAAGTTGAACAGGTTATGAAATTTTGGTTGATAAACGAAAGTTGATCGGGCTCATATATCAGCAAGAAAAAGTTAAATTAAAAGAGCTTATTGGCCAAAAACAAGCTATAATATTGCAGACCTTGGAGCAATACTGAAGAGCACGCTGAGCAGGATCATGCCAGAAAATGTTGACTGATGAGCGCATATTCATGTATTGGTATGAATATTGAATGATAACTTACAACAGCAAGATAAATTAGTGCTAACTATCAAGTTAGAAATCTAGAATGAATGGACTTGGGCAGTTTTACTATGCAGTATGCTTAGATGCTATGCAGATTGTATAATGTGCATCAGGTACTCTGGCTGGCAAATGAAACATGCGATCATTCCATTGCTACTGGAGGAGAAAGCTTGGATCACTAAATCCACTTTATGTTGATTTTGATGTTAATCATCACTGTATTTCTTGAAAAAGGATTGTAGTAAAATTGTCAATGTGACAATCCATGCAACGATGTGATCATATAATGTGTTCATACTTCATAGTCATTCGTGATAGTGATTATTGGTCCAATATACAATGGCAAAGCTCTCAGCCTCAGCGTTTCTTCCTGTGGATGGCAAGTACTGACTCAGAGCTTAGAAGTATTAGTTTTCATCACAGGGTTGGGATAAAAAGTACTGATGGTAATCTTCCACCAAGGAACTCTACTTTGACATGGTATGAGATGTAGGCACAAGTAGGTAGGTGCTTAGTTCCTATAGTCAGTAGTTGTGTATGTTTAGTCAGGTTAGCTTAGATTAGATTGTTAGTTTTTTTTTTTTAATTTGCCAAGTGTCCATAAAAATGTGACCTGAGCAATGAGCATACCTGACTAACCTGACAGCTGACCTAACCTCAATCATCACGTACATATTTGCAGCCTACCCAAGACCTGCATAGCAGTAGCACCCAGTTATAGATAGGTACTCAGTACTCACCCTAACTCAATCTTACCTGCTAACCTTCAACTTGCCAAAAGTTAGCTCACATTGCCAAGCTGCATCCAGGGAAACAGTCAACTGAGGAATTGGCTCATTGGGTGGCTAGTGTGAGTCTGTGCATTTAAAGTGTTTCTTCTCTGAAGCTGCTCAGCACTGCTGTATGTCATGTTAGATGCTCAGAAAATGTGGAAATGATTACTAAGCTACTTAAGTGCTTTGTTAATGCTCGAGACATGAACAAGTACAGATCCTGCAGGGTACAGCTATGAGTTAGGTGCTAGGTGAGTATGTTATGTGAATGTGCTGTTCCCTGTTTGACGATAGTAAGTATACAAACAAGCACAGTGTCAGTTATATTCAATCTCCACATAAACATACAACAAAAATGGCCATATAGCCTAACTCCAAAGTCCGAACACACCACAGATAACTTAAGCCTTTGCAGGCACAAAAATGTTTTGATTAACAGGACAGGTATACAATATATCCTCTGCCCTTGGGGATCTTGCTGCTAAGTTGAGGTACGATGACTGAACTTCAGGATTGATCAACCTTTTCTTAGCCACTGCTTATATACAAGAAAGACCAAATGCTTGTTTGTTTTGATTTACAGGACATGTATACAATATATTATATCCTCTGTCCTTGGGGATCTTGCTGCTAAGTTGAGGTACGATGACTGAACTTCAGGATTGATCAACCTTTTCTTAGCCACTGCTTATGTACGAGAAAGACCAAATGCTTGTTTGTAAACTGCGTTGAAAATTTAATGATCCACCTTCAATACTGACATGAAGGCACAAATGAAATAGTGAACAATATTGATATTGATATACACTGACGCTTTTCGCTTCATATTTTGTAACAAACGCGCTAAAACTGCAATATGACAGCACTATATGCTTCTTGACAAAATAAGAAAGTAGTAAAAAATTAGCCCTGATGGCATTCATTCTTGGTGGAAACGTAATTACAAAATGTTTTGTAGTAATTATTAAATTCCGGCCGAAAACAGTGCACGGTTTAAAAAAGAATCATTCCAATGACGGTCCATTCTTGCGGTCCTGAAATCGCCACTATTTCCGGCCTCTCCAACGCAACTCGTTGTCCAGACGTAAATATGCTTATTTTCCATGCATCTGTGTATGAAATCAGTCGGTTTTTCGGAAAGATCATCTTCTGTTTAATAAATAATTCCACAATTGCAATCGAGAAAAAAAAACATTTCCGCTGTGACAGCAGTTTTGGCATTGTGCCAGTAGTGTGGCGTGCGCGGTGCTGCGTGGTCGTCGGGACGGAGTTGTGAGTATTTTCGGTGTTTTAAATGGTTGATGGCCATTTGAACCAGCTTTATATTATTTCCTACAAATTTTTGCATCAAATTATTGCTTTGAAAGACCATTGAAACCCCTTATCTCTTCATGAAACACGATCATATTCATCGTCGACGAAAATGGCGCGGGACTCCATGTGCATTCCGATCGAAATAAATCGTAAATTAAATAATATTCGATGATAAGTATCATATTCTAGTGACACATTTTCATAAAATAAGGCATAAACTTTGCAAGGAAGTCAACATTGGATAATTGGATTCTTATTTAGCTCACATATCCTTGTAGTAGTCAAATGGCTCAATTGATAGATTAATGTAAGTATATGTTTTGGCTTGATGTTTGCTGTGAAACCACCCAGCCACTTGCTGGTTGAATGGTTTTCTGATAATTACCTGATAATCATTTCTCCTTTTCCTTAAAGGAAAAGTGCCACCTTCTTGAAATATGAAAATATCGTTGGTTTTTATTTTGACATTACTATTTTCCATTTTCTTTTCAAAACCGGTGCCAGAAGTGCATAATTCGCTAAAAAGTATTTCAAACTATTTAACATATTGGTACTATGTTTATACTCTCTACCGCAGCTACTGTATGATGTCATAGCAATGACGTCACACTCAAGCCAATCAGCCTTGAGGAGGATAGACTCGTCGGACTGTAGCGGTTGTAAACAACTTGTCGCCCCGTGTGTCTGCCCGTGGCGCTAGTTATCTGTCGGAGGTAAGGGTGAAAGATGCATATAATGGCCATGGAACGCTATTTTAGGATTATTGGTGAATAGCAAGAATATAGTTTTGGTGGTTTGAAATTGTTTGTCCTCAGTGATTGGCTTGATTCTCATTTTGCGGCATAAGCGGCTGTTTGGTTACATTGCATTTTTTATGATTGTGTAATTATTATGATTATGTTCCTCCAAAGTAGGCATCACATATCAATCTCAAAGGCAGATCATCTTCTTTTCATGCCTATAATTTTCTTCAAGAATATTAATAAAAAATATTCCATTCACCCCTGCCCATCATATATCCCATGGAGCTGCTGGTGGAAGTAGGCATGCAATGTGACCTAGCATTGGCGATGTGGTTAATTAGCTTTAAAGTACTATTGAATGCTAAAGGTCATCATTTAGAATGGTTTTCAAAATATTCCACTAGGAAATATTCATTGAAACCTGAAAATTACTTACAAAATGTAAATGTATAGCCACGTCTCAAGAGCATTCAGCCGTCTTCTCAGTAAATATATAATGAAACATAATCTTACCTGACCTAGCCTTACCTACAACCTACAACGTACGGCATTGGTAAAGCTGGCATCACTGTCAGCGTATATTAGTTTGGTAGGTTGTGGGTAGGTAGGTTGTAGGTCAGTTGGTAAGGTAAGGTTAGGTTAGATTGTTTTTAAGATTCCTTTTATCTACACATTTACCGGTTAGCGCTGACGGTGACACCAGCTTTACCGATACCCAACCTACCACCTACAACCTACAACCTAAAACCTACATTCAATGTTGGCGGGTGGTGATAATTGTTATACCTATATGATAATACTGGAGATAAATACCATACAGATTAGCTGGTATCCATGACACACTTTCTTAAGAAGAAGGTCTTCTATTAAATCATGTCTATATTATAGGAATCAAATGATTTTTGTTGTAGTCACATTCCCTACTCTGACCATCATGTCTGATTATTTCCAGTTACCACTGACAATGCCCAAAACAAGAACAACAAAGGCCCAAAGGTGGCTGTTTGGTAGTGCGCAAAGCTGCTGGTAAGTGGCATCAAAGGATAGGATGTGCTTTGTTATTTCCAGGCACGTAGCCAGGATTTTGCTCAGGGGGGGGGGGTCACAGGTTGTGGCCTAGTGTTGTACTCCCTCCAAAAAAGGAAAATTTTCTCGGATTAGGCCCACTATTTTGGGGGTGTGTCACAGCTGGTTTTATTTTATAAAAAAAAATCGCCATCACCGAGGGGGAAGGGGCATGAGGGCATGGCTCCCGTGCCCCTCCCCCCTCCTTGGTTACGTCCTTGGTTATTTCTGATAGTTTGGATATCACAAAGCTTTAGATATAAATTAGAATGTATTAAGAAGCTTTCAGCATTGCACCTTTCCAGACACTGATAATTCATTTGCCTTTATTGTTTCAAAAGTCAATTTTCAACACAAAAAAGTTGAAATTATTAACTCAAATAATTGCAAATATATACTTTGGTAATTTGCCTTTCGCATCACTATCAACAAAATAATCAAGGGTGACTTAATATGAAATGTTCCTGCATGATCTTCATCGTGAACAATTGTCAAGGTATGATGTTTGCGTGTTGAAATGTTATAAAGAACTTATGTCATAAAAACACAACTTGTAAAAATATTGTCTTTCCATATTATTCTGCAAGTAAGCCTTGGAAGGAAGAGACACTATTCCGTCCTACAGAATCCATTTAGAAATGTGTGACAACTGACATGTTCAGCACTTTGAGTCAGTCGGTGCCCGGACCTCAGTCGGCTGTATGATCGTCTCCTCGTCCTCTTTTGTCGGCTCCGCCCCGTGCTGTTCTATAAGGGTGTCTGACCCGCTGCCGCTATCCCCACTGTGAGGTCTGACCCGCCGCGCGCTGTCACCACTGTCGGCCCTCTGTGTGCGCGGCAGGTGGTGGTGGACGTCTCTGCCCTGACGCGCGGCGTGCGTCTGCTCAGTGTGGAGGTGCCGCTGACAGCGGTGCCGGCCGGACCGGCTGCCTCTCCGGCGGCCGACATTGAGCGCGGCACGTGTCCGCCGCCGTTCGGGCCGCTGCAGCTGCTGCAGTCGGCGGCGCAGCTGTCCGTCTCCGTGTCGCTGGCCGTGCCGCTGGACCTGCTGCCGCGGCCGGCGCCGGCGCGCTGCGCCTACGGCCGCCTGCTGGCCGTGAGCCGTCGTCTCGCAGCGCGGCCTGCAGCGCAGCGGCGTGCCGCAGCTCATCCAGCAGCTCAACGAGCCGCCCAGCCCGGCGGCGGCCGAGGGCGCCGCGCCGCGCCGGCCCGGCGACGTCAGCACACCTGGCATCAGCGGCTTCTGCCTGGCCGACCGTCAGCTGCACCTGCTGTTCGCCGAGGGGCGCGCCGACGCCGAGCTGGAACAGACGGCGGCCGCGCCGCGCGCTCTGCCGCGCCGCGACGCTCGACTCTGCCACCACTCGGGCTTGCTGTTTAGGGAGCGCCTGTACCCGCGCCAGCCGGCCGTGTTCCGCGTGCTCGAGGACCGCCCGCTACGCGCCCAGCTGCTCGACACCCGCCTCTACACGTTACAGAAACAGGAGCCGGCGCGCGCCGTCCGCGCCATCAGAGAGTGCTTCCGCACGCAGTGGCTGTCGGAAAATGAACCTGCTTCCCAACGAGGCCGGCCTGCAACAACTGCTGGCCGGCTGTTGGCCGAAAAAAAACGCTTTCAACCGGATGTCAGTTGTCAAATCAACGCGTAGTAATGCATTCACTAGGATGGGCTTACGTAAAGCTGTAGAATTGCAAATATATAATGGCACTGTTTTTTATCCGTTCGGTATGCATTGGTATCATATGATCTCTCATTCACAGACGATCAGCTGCGAAGACCCAGATCCGTAGTAGAGGGCTCATCGAGTCTGGGTCCAGCTCCCCGTACTTCCTCCACTTTGGAAACACCGCAGCGCAGACCACAGTTATACATAATATTTAGTTTTCATTCACTTCATAACCGAAGGTTGTTTGATAGGTGATATGCTGCTTGAGTTGCACCCCGGTATATCAATACGAAGCTTCCGTCCCTGCCACATACCAGTGAAGGAGGCGGCGGCGGCGGCGGCCGGGGCCGGGCTGCCCTGCCCACCGACACAGTCTGTGAAATGCCCCAACAACCTTTAAAATTCAACAGGCTTCATAAATGTTTTTTGCACCATATTTTCTCGCGTATATGAAAGCTCTAAAATGTACAATATTCCTTTCAGCCGCAAGCGATATAAAAGCTCTACAAAACGTCATGTCTCTGTGTGCAAGAAAGACACATATATTGTGTATAATCGAGCGTACATGATCTGCAGCGCTGCGGAGGGCTGCTCGGTTGCCGCTTTTTACCAGTCGGCTCTAGGTCGGACATATGGGTAAACAAAATGGAATAGTAATATTAAACAATGCTACCTGCTGATGCTACTGGGCCTCTCATTGGTGAAGAACTGGCAGCCAGCCAGCGTGTTTTTGTGAGAACTGTTTTAACAGCAGCAACCGAACGGCTCTCGGGCCAGCGACCAGTGAGCGTAGACAGCACAGCGCTCCGTTAGGCATCGGCGGGCAAGCACGCATTAGCTGTGGACGGACCGGCCGCCCGAACATATTTGTCGGTATCGAAAGTATCGTGAACCAAATGACTGCTAGCGAAAAAAGGACTGCCTCTAGTATCCATGAAAACATGTGTTCTACAAAAGTACATAATTGCTTAGTTGTCGCCAGTCACTCATTGCACCATGGCGTCAGTGTGGGGCCGCGCCCCGAATCATCTCAATCGCCAGGCAAAGCATCTCAATCGACAGGCACATGGTAGTCCAGCTACGAATCCGAGCCGCGGCATCCCGTCTATGTATCTACATTACACCACAATCGAACACTGTCGGGCCACCCGAGACAGCAGTCTCCAATGTAACATCAAAACACGCCACTCGTCTAATATCAGAAAAATGAGCATTGAGTACCTACCGAATATCGACTACAGAAGATTACAATGGGGTGCAGATCTAGCAAGAGTGTCGCGGTTCGTCTCGGCACGGCTTACAGGCCGCCGAGCCCGCGCAGGTGACCGCCAGCTCCAGCTGTTCCACCTCCGGCGCGGAAGCTCGATCACAAGACTGACCTCAGTCGGCGCTCTGTGCTCGGCACAGGGCGACCGGGTCAGGAGCGGGCCGCGGCCACCAGCCACGCGGCAGCGCCCGCCACCACCCGCTCAGCCCAGATACGCGCCACGGCGTCATTGGGGCTTCCCTGAGCAGGATCGAACCAGAGCTGCATGCACGGCTCCGTATCCGCCGTGAACTTCCACGAGTGATCCCACACCTGAAAAAGGCGCACGGTTTGCGTCACAGCTCGGCTCACTTTCATAGTCAACGCACCGGCAGCAATTAAGGGCTACTTAGATAGTGTGCTAATAGAGCGCAATCACTTAGCTTAATCCATATAGTCAACCATGAATTGTTAATTACGAGCGAGCGAGCGAAGCGAAGTCTTTTCAATATCACGGAAAAAGCTCAGTATGAGCGGCCCGACCCGGCCCGGCCTGTAACGCTTTTGAGAGGCTTACAGGGTGTCCCAAAAGTTTTGCAACATCGCTGTCGTCTGGTTTGAGACACGTTCTTTTGTATGTACTTTTGTATTCAGCAGCCGACATAATCACCGCGTCGTCGGACACACTTCTGGATGCGTGACGGCATGCTGGCGACCAAGCTACGCAGCGTGTCCGTCGAGATTTCTCTCCAGGCCTTCTTCAGGCGTCGCTCGAGCTGGCTGAGGCTTGTGGAGGGCTCCTGCTGGTTGAGGCTCTCCTTCAAAATCGCCCACAGATTTTCGATTGGGTTTAAGTCTGGCGAGTTTCCAGGCCATTCACCTTTGGCCCAAAACCCCGGTAGATGCTCGTCGCACCATTCCTGGCTTCGTTTGGCATTGTGCGCTGGCGCACCATCTTGCATAAAAATTGCCCGCGACATTGGGTCGATGAGTTTCCTCTCTGTAATGCCGCCAGTTTTGCTTGTACGCTCGACCGCTGGCAAAAGTGAGCCCTCCAGGATTTCTGTCACGTAGTACGCGGTGTTTACCGTCTGCTTTGGGGGCACCACGTGGAGCTCAGTAAGACCCTGCGCGGTCATTCCACCCCATACCATAAGCTTGGCGGGCTGTTTGACGGTTTCCACGCGTGGCACCTGATCGCCAGACCTCGCCCAGACTCGATCATTTTGCCGGTTTGGCTTCTGCTGGAGTTCGAATACAGACTCATCGGACCAGATGACATGCTTAAATTCTTCAAAACTCCATTTTTCTACTCTCTTACAAAACGCTAATCTTGCAAGTTTCTGTTTTTCGCTCAATTTTGGCTGTTTTTGCCTCTTGTATGGCCTAAATTGCTTTGTTTGCGTCATGAACCGGTGTACACTTGACTTGGACATCGGATAACCTTTTCTTGTTAGCCTTATCGCTAATTTCCTCACGCTCTGTCCTCTTTTCCCTGCAGCTTTGGAGCAAACGATCTTGGCGACTTTGGACATGGTACTTGGTCGGCCGGAGCGCTCCATGTCGGCCAGGGATTTACCCTCGCAATGGCGTCGCCACCATCGAAAGAGAGTAGTCCGGTTGACTCCGAACCGTTCTGCGACATCCCGCTGAGCCACGCCTGCCTCCAGTAATCCAATGGCGCGCGAGCGCACAGCTTCTCGCCGCGAGACCCGCCCGGCGACCTTCATGTCTGCGACTGACCCAGGGTCGGCCAGCGGTCGCCGCAGTCAAGGTCAGCCACGCCCCGAGGCGGCATCCGCCAATGGTCGGGGTGTGTAACAGTGCCTTCTACCCATGGCAACAGAAAGACCACCGTTATGGCATTTATATCAGCGGTAAATACGTAAACAATCCAGAAAACGGATGTTGCAAGACTTTTGGGACACCCTGTATATCTCAGCAACCGCTGGACCGATTGGCCTGCGGTCTTTTTTTTGTTGGGTAGCCCTATTCCCTCTACCCCGTAATTGACTACTCTTGATACATTACAGGGACCGTCGTGGCACGTGCCACGTGAAAAGTCAAGGGTGTTATTTGTCAAAAGTTGCAAAAGAAGTGATTTTGAGAGGCTCATATCTCAGCAGCCGCTTGGGCGGTCTTGCGGTGAATTTTGTAGGGTAGCTGCACCCCTTCAACCAAAGGTCGGATGCTCTTGATCTATGTGAGTGACCCCCACTGCACGTGCAAAATGTAAAAAGAAGAGGTGCCGAATTTGTTCCCATTTCAATAACTCTGTAATTACTGGGGCGATTTAGCTGAAACTTGGCATACAGGTAGGCAGTAGGCACCCACCAGGCAATGCATTCCCATATGTTGCGGTTAGGGTGCTACTGCTTAGTGTATTATGTGTAAAATAAAGGACGCTTGAATCTTACCTGAGTGATGTCCATTTCTTGATCACTTTCATCTGTGGGTGACCGAGCAGCGACAGCAACCCAAGGCGTATACGGAATCTGTAAAAAATCAGCACACCGTTACCACATGTTTTAATAAAACTTACCTATAGGGAGGTAGCATAAAATACAGATCAAAACAATAACATACAAACATACAGATATTCGGTTAGGTTGAAATGGCTAAAAAATATAAAAAATAAGGTCAAGGTACTAGTGCTGTAAAGCTGTAAGGGCTCGGTACTAGTAATAATTTTTGGCTAAAAATATCACAAATAAAGACTCTGCACTAAAGCTGTAATGTCTGGTACTAGGAATAACTTTAGAGTGAAGTGTTACAAAAACAATATTCAAAGTCTTTTGATAACTTTTTTTAAAACAATATAGCAGGCATTTTCATCACTTTTAAAAAATACTTACATTCTGATCCGGCACAGCACTGTTCTTTAGACGCAAACGTTTTTGACTGTGCTTATCATGGTGCGCACTTCTTGTTAAGTTTAAGTGGTCATGTGGTCTTGGCTCATTGGTCATGCCACACACCCTCATCCACTTTTCTCTGTACTTCTTTTTTTTTAGCGGGAACCTAAAAGTAAAAAAGGGTCAACACATGCTTAGTCCATGCAACACATACTCTGTGTATTAAGCTGAATAGCTCCACTGAGCCCAGTTTCACCAAGTGCGGTAAACTTAATTTTGGGGTAGTTTTTGTAGTTAAGTAGTGGGGTAGTTTAGTAGTTTACCCCAAATTGAGTTTACCGCACTTGGTGAAACTGGGCTCTGGTGAGTTTCCTTTTCTTGTCAGCACATAGGTGAAAGAAAACTGTGTAGACAAGAGATGAACCAAACCCCCATGGAAAGGTAGGTGTTACCACAACCAGGAAATGGGATTTGAAGGGCTGGATAAATGTGTCTGAGTTCTGCCTTTCAGCCAGACTGGAAAACATCCATACACTACGCCGGATGCCCGTGAGCCCCTCATGCGCCAAAATTTGAAGCAAGCAATTTTGAGCTGAAATTCCAGTGCATGATTTCCACTGAAAGTTGGGTGCCTGTTTGCACCAAAATTAAGCCACTTTTACATAAAGCACATGTGCATATCTACCGACCAAGGCTATATCAACCAGACAGATCGTTCCGGGGCCTCTGAGTCAGACGCTCTTCCCTTTCTGAGCGTCTGAATTAGTTAATGTTCCCATGAAAACCCAATACCACAATTTGTGTGGCACATTGTAGAATCTTAAGGTGAAACAAGGCCCAGGCCGGAAGTTCCGACTCTCTTCAGACCTGCCAGCGCCCGCAGGGCAAGTCTGCTGCTAGATTGACCACAGTGTGTCAAAAAATTCGGTGACAGCCATTTGCATAAACATTATGCGCCATGCGGTCACCCTGCGCCTAAAAATTCAGCTGCCACCATGCGCTGAATTTGACGCATGCAAAATTATGCTGGATGTGCGATGAAATTTTCGGGGCAACGCTGCAACCACGCCACTTCGCATGACATATTCGGCATAACTTGTGTTTTTTTATCCAGTCTGGCATTTCAGTTGTGAAAGCCTGAACAGTTCAAAAGGGTTTGCTAATCCAGGGGAGAGTTCTGTGAAAACAAAAGTAATAGAAGAGCCATTGCAATAAATAAGAATTTAGGTACCTACCTAGGTACCTAGGTACTTACTTGTCACAAGTTTGTGCACAGTCACACGCATATCAGTCCCGACCCCAAGGCCATATAACCCCGACCCGACGTAGGTCGTTAATTGCTCCGCGGATCACGCACTTCTTCATCGTTATAGGTATTTGTTCGAACAAAAATGCCCTGATTTCGGATCAGAGCCACGGTATAAAATATGGTATACTGCCTTGCGTAAGATAAAAATACATTTTAGCAATTGGCTACCAAACGAGATGTCATCTGTTCAGGGCATAGCATAGGTTTACTTTCATAGACCTCATGAAAGTAGCTCATGAAACTCATCACCAATCAGCGCGACGGATTTCAAGTTTCGATTGCGGATGTTCATCCGCCGGCCGATTGCCAGAACAGACAACGAAAAATAACGCAACTGCTCGTGGTCTGCTCGCTAGTACAGGGATCCGTGCCTGATCAGTACTGCTGCAAGCTGATTGGTTAAAAACCAAAGCCTCGCCGCGGGTGGCTGTATTGTCGGATAAGAACGCATTCCTGGGATAAGAACGCATTCCTGGCATATTTTCTTTTAAAATTGCCGATAACTACGAATGGAGACTGAAGTCGGCCGTAAGGGGGTGGCCAAGTAGGTTTTCGGACACGGGCTACAAGATGGCTATCTCAGTTTAAATCCCCATGTTAAAGGTGGCCCTTTTCCTTTAAAAGAAACTGAAATTCCTTTCAAAGTAATCCATTTTTAGGAAAGGCGGCTTGCTCATTGACATTTCATGTTCTTGTTTTGTTATTGCTGGCAGTATTTTGATACAATAATGCAATATGAATTTCTTGCAATAATAAAACCTAAGACAAACTTAGTTAATGCGTCAATCAAACACCCAACAGAAAGATTGTGAGTCCTTGCGACGTGAAGTAGAATATTCTATGAATGTGCTATATAGAATATGCCAAATATTAAATTAATATTATTTGATACTGATAGCTGAGCATGTGAATTATGCCACAATATAATTTCATTTTCTGGTTTTGAAATAGCCGGCAGTATTTTACTTCAACAAATGTAATATACATGGAATACATGTTGTTATGTTATGTTAAAAGTTTAACAACAGCCAACAGAAGGGCTGTTTCAGCAGTTAATGTTTGTACCTTATGCATTACCTTTCTTTTCTGCAGGACCATGCTTCCGCTGGGTGGTCGACATTTGCCTCCTGAAGAAGTTGAGCAACATGAAGACCACCAGATGAGGTGTCTGCAGTTCATGTGGAACTCTGCAGACTACAAGTGTTATGCCAACCACAACCAAAGTGCTGTGATCATGGAGGCATGAACCTCATGACAACACTTCAGATTTGCAGTTGAACCAAAGTGTGATTCAAACCACCTGTGGCATCTCACTCAATGTGTGAACAGTGTGATTATTGTGCAGTGTTCAGCTGCAACTAAGACATTTATTAGTGACTTGTTTTGCAATTAGCCACCAAAAGCATTTTTTGGGCTGACTGCTGTAATTTGTTGTGCACTGCGCAATAGTGGTAGTGTTTTGTCACTTGTCGAGTTGTCAGTTGTGCATGTTGCATGTTTCTCTTCCCTCGGCCCTCATTATCAGTTAAGTGGTGAATTGGCATCACTCAGTCTCCCCAGATCTCCATTGACTGTCTGTCAACCACCTAACTTGAGATGGTATTTGCTAATAGTGTCAGAAAAGAAGTGATTGTAGACATTTTTAGGAATATGAGCTCCGTTTCATGCGTGTTCCAGTGGTCATTTTGTCTCATGTCCCATAGTGTAATAAATGGAAACTGTTGTTCCCTTTTGAAGGTACTCGCGGATGCAGAAAGCGTTGGGCCTAATTATTAAACGCACCCTCCTATCAGCGACGCACGAAATCGACAAATATCCTTTTTAGAACAGGAGGAAACGAAAACTTGTGAACATAGCTGTACCTACAACAGTGCATAAGGAATTGAAATTCTGGGAGTTTTTGAAATTCGGAGAAACTCAAGTTGTCGACAGGTATGCCCCCTTGCACGTCAAAGACCGCCTAAAAAACAAACGTCTACAAATGAAGGCAGTATTCGTATGTTCGTTGTAATTGCAGCAGCCTAGCAACATGCATTGCGGTCCGATGGCGAATTACACTCGTGCTCAAAAACTATGCCGGTAACTGCCAATGCACTTGGGTCATAGGTGAGGAGAGGAAGGGTTATGTCATATGTCAACATCATAGAAATGGCTTCATCTGAGCTGTGCCTATTGTACATAATTCAACCAATCTATGCATTTCGTTTCTTGCAATCTACTCATGCTTTCACTCCAGCTTCAGAGTAATCATCCCATATTGTACGTCTTAAGATATTGATTTCTATGGCGGTTTGCAATTGCTAGCCACGTCTCACCTCAGTTTGGTGGCCCCGCATCGGCCCACTCGGCCGCTCTAAAATTGACTTACGGAGGAGGATCGTGGCTTTTATTTTAGCTTCTCCGCTGACTGCGGGGAGCGCCGTCGCCGAGGTAGGAGCAATTATTAGCTTATGTTTGGGACTAATTTCCACGCTTAATTAACATTTTAATGTTATTTTAATTTATTCATGTTAATCTTTGACGCATTCTCTTTCTATTGATACCATCCACCGGTCTGAGAATTACTGCCTTGCTGCGTAAGGGCCGATAAAAGATCACGCTTTTAGGGGTATCTCTTCAACATGGGGCAGGAGCAATAAATAGAGCGCTCTAATTTTAGCTTATTTCCCTGGAATGTCACCAACTGATTTCTACCTGATAAGGCATTTATAAATATGCAATATATTTATACTTGTCTATAATTTCCATGTAATACCAGTGCATGGAAATACTGGGTGCTTATATGCATTCAATAATATTGCTGCAGTTCTGTATTACCTATTGAATGAAATGAAATAGGCTGTTTATTCTATTAAAAATACATATAGGTATTTGTGTGCAGGCTGTGGCGGTATTGGTAAAGCTGGCGTCTCTGTCGACGCTAGCCGGCGAATGTGTCAATTTAATTTATATTTTATACTGGGTATAATAAAACATAATCTAACCTGACCTAACCTTACCTACAAACTTACAACCTACCAACCTACATACCTACACCTTACCTACCTACCTGCCTTCCTATTGCTGACCGTGACGCCAGCGTAACCAATACCGCTGTGTCCAGCATCTTGCTCTGAAATCTGATTTAGATTAAGGAAACTGCATATCAATATAGGAAAATGATAAAGAAGAACTTTTGTAGATTGATTATGCTGTTCTTGTTCCATCCTTCTGAACTCGCCTGTGGTTTGTGGACTCTTAAAACGCAGTAGATGCGTCAGTGTATTTCCCTTTGTTGGACATCTGTTGCAGGTTAGTTTCTGGCTTGAAAAAAGTATTAAATTGTGTGTTGTCTGTATTTATATTAATATGCATCAACAAGTATTTTTGTCTTCTTCTATTCCAGGCTGGAGAGTGGTGAAGAATAATCCTTCAACAGAAATGTCTGCAAGATTGTACAAAACATTGTTTTCTTTTTTATTTTGATTTAAGACTCTTCAATTGACATAATTACAGGAAATAGCATGTTCATTAAATGCATCAAGCCATCAGTTTGGGAAGTGAACTACTATAGAGTGATCAGTGAATGGATATGTTGGACTTTGTGCATAGTTGTGCGATGTGGTGAAGTAACTTGGCTTGAATTTAGATTCATCCCTACTCTCCTAATTTCTAAAAAAAAGTTCTTAAATTTTCTTCCCGATTGTACTGTGTTCACGTTGCAAGGATGGATTGCGAGTTGGTTGGATTAGTGGAAACATTTGCCTACAAAGTGTTGCATGTTGTTAAGCACTGCTGGCAATGCTTATGGTATGTGCTGTGTTGGACTTTGTGCATAGTTGTGCGAAGTGTTGAAGCAACTTTGCTTAAATTCAGATTCATCCCTAGTCTGCTAATTTTTCAAAAGGTTTAAGTTTCTTCAATTTTCTTCCTGTTTGTACTGTGTTCATGTTCCAAGGATGGGTTGTGAGCTGGTTGGATTAGTGGAAACATTTGCCTGCAGAGTGTTGCATGTTGTTTAGCACTAGTATTATTTGCTAGCAGTGCCTATGGTTAATTGTTGCTTGTGCAATTTCAGAAAAAATATATAGAACTTGATTAATTATATCTACATGTTTGGTGCATGTGTACATGTAAGGTGAGAACCAAGATGGAAAGGTCAGGACCCAACAGCTTACTTTTTAAGATATTCAATTAGAGCACATGGCAGTTGGAGTCACTCAGCCGAAAAGGGTTCATGAAAATCATTTGGACATGTATGCTTTCAAACCAAACTGGGCCAGCAAAGAGCACCAGCCGACTGGCCAGGGTCAAGATCTAGCTGAGGTTGGGGGAGCAGCAACAAACTTCGCTGCTCAGATCAGGTGGTAGGTACTCTTCAATTCATTCCACGTGTTACACTGCTTAGAAATGGGGTATATTCAGAGGATAATTCTGCATTCTCCTTTATCCACCAGTAGCCAAAGGCCCGCAGTAGTCCAGGGACCTCAGTTTTCGACCCATGTTTGAGGTCCCAGCACAGCCATACGGACCCCAGTCCCTAGAAGTCACAGCCAAGCATGCTGAACGAAGATTAGAGATGCAGGTTGCCGTGTGTTAATGGTGCATTGTGAGTTTCCGTGTATAACGGGAGATTTGACGTTGTCGTGGCTTATACGACGTTCATTTATTAGTAGAATTAATGAATTGTTCGCATCTGAACGCCAAAATTTGGCATTATAGGCATTACAGACGGCAAAACAGTTACCTCGTTATGCATCTCTAATAGGAAAGTTGCCTGATTTGGTGTATTTAGTCTGAAGTTAGTTTTACGAATAGTAGGAAATACATGCTAATGTTTTTGCTTTTTTCCTTATGATTTATCAAGTAAAAATGATATTTTAGAATATGATTTCATCTGTAAACACTCGTTTGCACAATATTGATGCGTATTTTGTTTGCATTTCACTTTTATTTTGAATAATATAGGAGGAACTGAACACAACTAAGTTTAGACTAGATTTCTTCCTACTGAAACGGGCCTCGCTGGCCCTCTAGAGGGCTTAGCTGGCCCGGTCAGGTTTATGCCGTTGTGAACCCGGCTAATGTCAACATGAGTTGCTACCAATCGCAACAGAAAACAGATGGCTTTGACTGATGATTTTTAAATACAGAGTGATCCAAAGGAATACAGCGAAAGATGATCTTACAGGTGCAAGCAGAATCATACTCGTAAGCTACATTTCAAGTATCATGGTAACCTGACAAACAGTTCCTAAGATACAGCTGTACTACTGACAACTCACATTGCTCTAGTGGTTGCCTGTATTTGTGCTGAAAGCATCCTTACCGTACTACATGTAAAATGGCTTAAACAGAACAAAAAGCTGAGTAGATCGAATAAATATTGTTTTATGCATCAAATGTATTTGTAGGACTATTTCTAGGCATAAATATAAGGGCTAATAAACATCAGACAGGTAGGATTTCACCATTGCATTTGCCTAAAGCTGAAACATCAGCTCTGTTCGGTCGCTATTTTTATATCAGTGTGCTGCCGCTTTTCCCCGGCCCTGTTTCACCACCCGACACTGCGCGCGCTGGGAGCTGAGGCATACCCCTGGGCCCTGACGTCACTCGAATGACGTTGCGTGCGATCCGGTAGCTTATGGTAAATCGCGTATTGATGAAGGAGCGCATACCTACACTGAAGGTCAGTAGGTGGAACTATGGTCATGAGTACCCAAATATAGGAACGTTCCCATTTTTGGGAGCGGAGTTCCCAAATATGGGAACGGGCGTTCCCATTTATGAGAACGGAAGGTAATTTGTCGGCCGTTCGCCCACTAAAACTCATTAGTGCATCACGTCTCAAAAAAGTGCACGCTAATTTAAGTATCTACTAAATCTCTATAAAATTATCTTTAATCTGACCGTTGAACAAGGAAATTGACCGTCGAATGATATTTTTAATGATTTTTTGAAATGACGGAATGGTGAAAACATGGGTTATACTACATTTAACATGCAATTTAAAGGAAAATGAAGCGTTTTTAATATTTTGAGGTCAAGTATAATAATTTTCGCCTGGTTATGAAGTTTCATTCTAGCGACACTAGATGCTGACATATGCAAGCGAACACGCGGACAGTCCCGAGGTAATATTGTTGACTTTTGGTGTCGGGGCGCACGACCGCGTGGAACGTCAGTGATTTTACCGAACTACTGTTGTAAATTCAGTTTCAGTGGTTTAAAATTATTCAGCTGTATTTTATCAGCCCGGAAAGACATATTTTATTTGGATGCTAGCTGTTTAGCGTTGTTTCATAAGGAGCGTCATGAGCGTGGTTTTTGTCCTTCGTGTTTCTGAGCATGATCGTTTTGGGAGAATTTCTCTTATATAGGTCGCTCTGTGTGGCTTATTTATAATTTTTATCCTGATTTCGATCATTCCTCGTGCCCATCCTACCAGGCCTTTTGCCACTTACACTCATTAAGAAAGGAAAAAACTAGATTTTCCATGGGACTAGGTGTTTTGAGGGTGTAACATATTCAGCGTTCCCATTTTTGGATACTTCCTTGTGCTCGTCAACTATCGGTGATAAACAGACAGGTGCTTGACATGTCTCCACCCTCGGCGCGGACGGTGGATATAGGTATGGAAGACCTTGTTGAACATCGCTGAGCGTTGTGAATTACATAATCCTGCAGAGGGGGGCGTGCCCGCTGCGAGATCGACGGGAATAAAAGCGCAGAAGACCGGGCGAAACATGCAATGGTCTTGCCGGAAAGGTCATCTGATGATTGTTGTGTTAACAATAATTTGCGGCGTTGGACGTGATGCTTGTTAATGAAAAGAGCCCCTGAAAGGGGTCGTTGAAATCGTTCCCAAATTTGGGTACGCCGTTCCCATAATAAGGAACGCTTGCAGCGCCAGTGTACGAGAGCGTTCCCAAATTTGGGTTCGCGGCCCGGATGATGGACTGCTTTAGAAATAGGGGAATGATTTGAAACTACGATGGGCCTTACATTATCGAACTCTTTCGCAACAATATTGAGACAAATATCAGGCGGTTCACGATCGTTTTATATTTTTTAGACGTCATTTAACGGTTCTTTTTCTTGTTTTAAATAGTTCCTACATGGCGTTCCCATATTTGGGTTTATCGTTCCCAAACATGGGAACGCAAATGCGTTCCCGAAAATGGGTACGCTTGACCATAGTTCCGCCTACTGAGGTGGATCCAGAACTACCAATTGTGATTGGCAATTGAAGGGCAAAAGTCCTAATTTTTATGACTGATTCAGGACACTGCAAGGAGCTCAATAGGATGGAATCCTGGAGGCCAGGGCCTTTAAAATTTCTGCACTTTTTGCATATTGATATAAGTAAATACCTAAAACTCCTCACTCCTCAGCTTCCGGTTCCTTCATGCACACATGCACACTGCTGTGCAGTTTGACCTGGCAACTACCTGAAAAAAAAACTAGTTGTTTTCTAATACATCATCATAATCAAGGCAAAATAACATAAAAAAACTAACTTCTAATCAAGAAATTATGCTGAAAAAGCGAGGCGCAAAACAATTGTTTACAAACAAGCAAGCGATCGATAGACGTCTGTGGCGCACAATTGACATTTCTGTTCAAAATAGTTGCATCATGGAGGAGTTGCATTATCCACGTCTGTCAATTCAGCAGCAACGAATATCAGCCTCATAGCAGCATATTTCGGGGTAATTCAATTTGGCTCAGAATTGGTACACAGGGCCTCCTCGATGCGCTGATTCCGAAAACGTACGTCTTTGACTTTGAGGTAGAAAACGGTGGGGTCTTTTGGTTTGGCTGAAAATCGGAATAGGTACAGGGCCTCCTCGATGCGCTGATTCCGAAAATGTACCTCTTTGTGGTAGTATTTTGCACCGTTAGCGCGTTAAAGGAAATAGTTCACTTTTTAACATGGGTTTTGAACTGGAATAGCAGTTCCGTAGCTTGGGCTGAGACGAGCATAAATCAGGAGCTTTTACAGCCCAACGATCACCCTAGGCAAAGATATTCTATTTCTCGTCCCGATTGCGTTGAGGATGTGTGCCTTGCATAAATTTCCATCCAGTATGAAAAGAGCATGGGTCCCGAAAATTCTTCAGAAACTAAAGAAATTATCTACGAGAACTGGGTGCAGTTATTTTTTTACATCTTAGTTTTTGTTTACGCGTTTTTAGACGTTTCTCGGCGCACTGTTGTTGAAGTTATACAGGCCTATTTTACAGCTATGTTTGATTCACAAAACTGCTGCAACTTTTAGAACTTTTTTTTTTGCATATTGACATTTTGATGGAATTGGAATGCATTAAAAGATTTTTATTCTTAAATCTTGAATGCCAATATAATAACAATGTGAATCGAGCCACGCTCGTAGCGAAATATTACGAATCAATGATAACAGTAACCGGCAGAAAATATGCAATTACCGCGATTGTATAAGATAATACTATATGTTCCGCGTGAAATTGACAGGAGATACCACAAGAATAATAGCCTACACAGATATTGAAATAACTGAAAGCTCATAATACCCGCTTAGCACTGCTAACGCTGACCATTTTCTTCGAACATTAAATGCTACCATACCATAACATCTGAAGATAATGAACTTGAACCTCGAAAAGCGAGTTGTCCAGTTTCAGTCTCAGTTTGTGCGGTACTGGGATGCATTCATTATCAGTGAATCAAATAAAAATTGTCCGGGGCATCATGCTGAGATTATATGAACCAGTTAATATGCATAAATCTAGTTATTGGCCAAACGTAACGGCCACGGACCATAGGTTGACGACCCCGAAATTTAGCGAAATGAAGAAGAGGTTCAAGCAGTTTAAATAATGCTGGTGCGTGGAGTTGAATAGTGATGTAAATATGGCCACAGTCTACAAACACGATAACAAACATCGATTGCGCTTCGCTCAACCAGAGCCATGCTCGTTCTTGCTCATGAAACAGTGCATCCCCATAAAATGAAAAGTCTGAACGAATGCATTCAGGTTCCTACCTCTGAATCACTTTATATTGAGATCCGTTTCTTAACAGGAACACAAACGCGGCCCATCAATTTGTCAGTTTTAAGGCAACAGCGTCTGACAAGTGACAACGTATCAAATGGCCAACTTCTGACACTATCTACCAATACGGTAACGGCAATAAAATTGCATTGCAAAATGCAAATAGAATTGCACGATTTCCAAGCGCAGCTTGAAACCAAGTGCGACCAGCTAGTGTCATTTTCACAACCAAGTGCGACCAGTTAGTGTCTCGAGACACATTCCAACTGCATAGGTAGGTACCGCAGTAACCCATTAGGGGTGAAAGGAAACACATGATTTGTGTACGACCAGCGTTCTGTCAGCGTACGACGCATAAAGCAAACTGCTCAAACAACTGCGGTCCCGAACAACACAACACAGAGCTCCGAAACGAATGGTTTACAAAAGTCTACGACTGACGACATCGAAACAGTACGTTCATCGGGACTAGTCACATGACTCGCTCAACCCAGCTGGGTTATGGGTACTAATTGCGCTTCAAAGTGACCTCTGACAGCCGTTTACTTACGCTAGTTTGATGCATAAAACTGTACATTGAAACTCAAGCGGCAGCACATAGGTCTCCATCAAGGTGGTTATATACAACAGAGCACCTCGCTAAAACGAGCGCGAGCGCACGTTTAAAAAAAAAACGCACTGTCACACTAAACCGCACTGTCACACTAAACCGCACTGTCACACTGACAGAACACTGAGCCGCGAGTCGTGACAGTCGCACTGCGTCATATGCACGCAGATGTCGCACTCACGGCATTGTCGCTGGCATTGCGCTGCGGGTGGACACGCGCGGTGCAGTAGCTCCACGGTGTGCGGCTCACCGGAGGGATTACCAGTCTCCGACCGGACAGTCCAGGCGGGAAATGCGGTGTCTTCAATCATGACCGCCGTCCCCGTCTCCGCGGAGGGCCGCACGGCGGCGACGCGGGGGCGTCGGATCTTGAGCTGGTGGACACTGGACTCCTGCCAGAGCTACCAGCTTCAGCCCTTCAGCATCCTGTCATCAGCAAACTCCAGCAGAGCTCCAATGCAACTGGGAAAATAAAATTTATGCTGTTAAGCTAAATCATGCAAAACATTTCCTTGCACAGGATTCTCTTGCGCAGTTCAGTAAAATCTTCTGTGATATCCATGGCCGTGACAAGAGGACTTGATGCCATTGTAAAAAAAATATAGGTGCATTGGTTCTCATTTACCCACATCAAGCCGCTATAGGTACCATTCACTTGTATATCATGAAGTATGTTAACTACACAATATTTATGCAATAGACTGACATGAAATATGTAGGAATGGCAAGAGAGATGGGTAAATAAGCCAAATAGGTTGCAGGATTTATTGGCACCAAACAGGTCAGAAAGTAGAAGTTCAAACAATCTTACAAAGTACAAACTACACCAGAGAAAGTCTTTGAATTAGGTACAAAATCATGCCACAGAAATAAAAACAATGCAGTTTTGTAGAGCATTTCCCAAAAGATAATTGTGATTCAGCCTTGCTCCCATTCTGAGATTGAATAAATACAAATTATGAGGTGAAAGTTACTCAAAAGCAGTTTTTTTTTTTTAGAAAACAGCTTCAATCCATGTTTGCCTGAGTTCAAACTCAAGGCAACATCTCATAGCTTTGACAGCATGAAATTTCATTATTGAGGTTACAATTTCCATAATCTTGTCACAAACAGTGCACTTTAATATGAATAACTAACACCAAATCAGCCAGCCTTGTATCTTTATCTGGTGAAACTCATGAAACCAATAAAGCAAACAATTTCTGAGTAAAACATTTAGGTATTTGACAAGTTCAAGCACTAGCCACTGGAGCGGTATGATGTGGTCTCGTAACTTGAACGTTCAGTCTGTAAGAGCATGCCTGACTTGACTTAACGGCTTTGAGGCATCACAAAGACTTTTGCAGCAGCTCCTATTCTTTTTTAACATAAACTTAAACTATCATTACCATGCTATGATGATGAGGTGGCTGGTTTCGGGCGCATGAAAAGTAGCAGCCCTTCTTCCATTTTATTTCCTTGATTTCACATGCTGCACAAAATGTTTTTTCTTCCACGTTCCTTCTGTCTTTATAAAAAATAATAGGTAACATAATTGCTTCACTTCTTCTTTATATTCCAAGCATTGCTGCTGCAATCCATCACATTTCCCGTTAGTAAACCATTGCTCTATGGCCGCTAAAGTAAATAAGTGGAATGCGCCAGAAATTGTCAAAATCGCGCCAAAATAGTAAACTAAGATGAGAAAAAATAACCGCACCCCGAGAACTCTAGAGAAATTCTCGTACTGATCAATTAGGACATACGCAACCGAAGTGTGACGTCATGACTAGTGGCTGGGGCATAATCAGCTGACGGCCCTGTGTTAAAGCAATGGGACGAAATTTTATCAGCATTTTTAGAACAAACTGAACCTAGTTAGATAGTTTGGGGGCCAGTTTCTAGGTAAACTGAGTATATTCTATTTTTCTACGCCCAAAAAATGCTATGTTTCAAAGCGGAAAGGACCGAATTTCGCGAAATTGTTACGGGCGGCGAACTTGACGCACCAAATACATGACCTTGAGATGCGAACTGTGACCGCGTCGGGAGGATTTTGATGCGTAAGGTTTGACATATTTGAGTTTGAGCTGGATAAATATTTTTTATTTGTAAAAAGCAAAGGAGAAAATTCACCATATAAGTTATTTTGAAAATCTTTTTTATTTTAAATCCATTATTTTAAACCTCTTGATCCAAAATGTTTTGTATTTCTGCGTCAACTTCGCCGCCAATTAGGTTTTCACGAAATTTTGTGCTTTGCGTTGTTAGATTTTGCAATATTTTTTTCATAGAAAAATAGATCATACATCGTTGTCCTAAATTCAGCTACTAAAACTATCTAACTAGGTCCAGTTTTCTTGGGAAAGATCGGCAAAATATTGCCCCATTGCTTTAGCACGGGGCCGTCAGCTGATTATGCCACAGCCACTTATCGTGACGTCACGACTTCGGTTGCGTATTCAGGGGAACCAAGGCCCTATATACCAGGTAGGGTCGTCCGGTGATTCTACCTGATCGTGACGTCAGCTCATGACGTCATCTGGGGGCAAGTCTTGAAGTCCCGTTTAAGTCCTATGCAAATGGGCGATTTTTGAAGCGCTGTGGAACAAACTCTCCTAAAGCTAGCACAAAACTAAGTGCATCATCGGAAAGCCGAGACATTTTTCTTCGAATTATCTAAGAAGCGTTTTTCCCTAAACCCATTAGTTTTTCCAAAAATGCGTAAAAAAGCCCCCATGCCTCCGCAGCCTCCATTCCGCCGGCCGCCACGCCGCCGCGGTAGTGTAGTGGTTAGGATGCTTGCGCCGTAATCCAAAGATCGTGCGTTCGAATCTAGGCGCGGTTCGTACTAAAATTGAAATTTCAAGCAGATTATGTGTTTTTTCTTGATAAATCACTTATATTACAGCTAACCGTTCATAAAACTATCGATAACAATTGACTGAAACCCAAAATATAGAGTATATTCTAATAAAACAAATTCCAATATGGCGGCCGTTGCGCCAGGCTCCGCCCCCGACTCCGCCCCTTCGTGTGACGTCATCTGTGCACTTGGACACACAGGGAGATAGGGGACGACATGGGCCTGAGGGGAACATTATCAGATCGAGCAGATCGCCCAAATGCCGGTGGCTGCGATAATTTCTCTGTTTCTGAAGAATTTTCGGGACCCATGCTCTTTTCATACTGGATCGCGTGTGCCTTACAGAAACTGAAAAGTTCTTCCTATATCAAAATATAGAAAAAAATATTTTGTTATGAAAAGGTTTTATTTTCTTTGCTGATTATTTTGAACATAAAAAATAATAAATCGTTGCAAAAAAAAATAATTTCGTGAAAGTGAACTATTTCCTTTAACGGCTACCGTAAGGTAGCCGATTTTGAGACAGTGGGGCTATTTGAGACAGTATCTAAAATTGTTATAAAATAAAAACCGTTTGAGATATATGCTTAATTTTTGCTCAGGCGATTCACTGCTCGATTCCACACCTTCCTGAGCAAAAACATCACATAAAAATCAAACGATCTTCATTTTATCGCGATTTTAAATACTGTCTCAAATAGCCCCACTGTCACAAATAGCCCCACTTTACGGTAATTAACATTTTAACGGGAGACGGCGGGGTCTTTCGATTTGGCTGAAAATCGGTATACAGGGCCTGCTCGATGCGCTGATTCCGAAAAGGTAGGCTTTGGGCCTTGGGGTGGTATTTTGCACCGTTAACGACCCGTTAATATTTCAGCAGCATATATCGATTTAGAAGCACATTTCGGGGTGTCTCCATTTAGTTCAAAGTTCGTATACAGGGCCTCCTCGATGCGCTGATTCCGAAAGACCCCGCCGTTTCCCATTAAAATATTTATTGGCCGTTAACTCGTTAACGGTGCAAAATAGCACCCCAAAGAGGCACATTTTCGGAATCAGCGCATTGAGGAGGCCCTGTAGGTATACCGATTTTCAGCCAAATCAAAAGACCCCGCCGTTTCCCGTTAAAATGTTAAAGGGACCCTCCCACCTTCAAAAAAGTTTATGAAATGGCATGAAAGTGATGTCGCTCGGTTCAGAAAGAGCGAGCCGAAAACGAATATCTACCAAATTTCACCGAAAAATATTCACCGGTTTTCAAGATATTAGACTTTTACTTTTTACTTTTGTTTACTTTTTTGGGATCTCCGCTGTTTCTAGCGACTTTATTTTAGAAGTGCGGCGTTTGCGGCAGATGTTGCGCGCAAATAGCATATACCACCGCGTGCTACAAAACGTTTTAGTCAAACATTTAAAAATCGTTAGATATCAGCGCTGACGTCACACATTCAGAGGGGTATTCCTAAGCATTAGCCCCTCTGAATCAAAATGCTGCAATTTTGAAATTCAATATTTCCGACTTAAGGCATTTCTCGATGTTGTGAGTGCCGAAACCGGTAGGTAATTGTGAGCCAGGGACCCCATTTTGGCTATCTCAACTCAAATCTAATGTTAAGGTGGGAGGTTTCCTTTAATTGGTCGTTAACTCGTTAAAGGAAATAGTTCACTTTTAACATGGGATTTTGAACTGGAATAGCAGTTTCGTAGCTTGAGCTGAGACTAGCACAAATCAGGAGCTTTTACGGCTCAACGATCACCCTAGACGAAGATATTCCATTTCTCGTTCCGAAAAGAGTGCCTTGCAGAGGAATGTGTGCCTTGCACAGGAATGCAGCCACGTCATCGTCAGCCAATCAGCATGCTGCTTACAGCTAATGCAGCATGCGTAGGTTTGAACTACGCAATATGATTGGTCAATGCGTAATAAGCTTCCGCGTCAATCATTATTTTACATAGAATATAGTTCGTCCTATATTAAAATATAGAAAATAATTGTTTTTACAAAAAGGTTTTATTTTATTTTCTGATCATTTTGAGCATAAAAAATCGTAAATCCATAGCAAAATACTAATTTCTGGAAAGTGAACTGTTTCCTTTAAAGGTGCAAAATTCCACCCCCAAGAGGTACATTTTCGGAATCAGTGCATCGAGCAGGTCCTTTACACCGATTTTCAGCTAAATCGAAAGACCCCGCTGTTTCCCCTTAATGTTAATTAGCCGTTAAAGGTAGTGTGCCAGCTTTCTTGGACCGTATGGAGTTAATGGCCCAGATAAGGAGAACCGGATTTTTAGAACTTATCCATACCTTCAAAACTCATGGAAACGTCTTAAATTCTTCAAATTTTGAGTACCCCAGTGCGAAATTCGCCCCGACGGGTTGTCGGTCGTACCCCAACCACATTTCACACCACTATGAACAATAAATGCACACACTGAAATCGCTATTACCGATATGCTCATCCAATCAAGTTTCGATAAACCCGTTTATCATCATCTCCTGCGGTCTCGAACACGCCTGTTAGGTGGCTTCTGATGCTCGTCGAGGTCGGAATTTCCAAATACGCGTGGTGCGTCGGGCCGCGCGCTCTGACTTCGGCCAAGAAAAATGCGTCAGCTGATCATTGTCATTTCTGCCACTTGCGTGTGGTGAAATGGGGTCATAACTTATAAGACGGCTTTTCATATCAATTATTTTACATAAAATCATATTTCAAACCATAAATAATGTTCGACAGCCAAATAAAAGAAACAATACCAATACGGGCTTACAGTTTAAGGCTCGACATTGTGTTGTCTACGATTAGACAGCTGATAACTCATTCCCGTACGTCGTATGGTCAAAACACTATAATGACCTTTGCTTATTGTCACAAGTGCGCCGCATTCGCGATTGTTGCCCGACGCCTGTTTGCAGGTGAGCCCACTACAGTTGTTATACATATCTAAAAACCGAAAAACTTTTAGACGAAAAAGGCACTATTCCAGGCCCATTTTTTGATTTTTTTTGCGATATTAGGTAAAAACAGAAGCTTCTTATCCTAGGAAAAATAAAATGGGAAATCTTTCAAAGGTGGCACACTACCTTTAACGGTGCAAAACACCACCCCAAAGAGGTACATTTTCGGAAGCAGCGCAACAAGGAGGCCCTGTAAATTAATTTTCATCCAAATCGAAAGAACCCGCCGTTTCCCGTTAAAATGTTAATTGGCCGTTAACTCGTTAACGGTGCAAAATACCATCCCAAAGAGGTACATTTTCGGAATCAGCGCATCGAGCACCGCCCCTAAGAGGTACATTTTCGGAATCAGTGCATCGAGCAGGCCCTGTAGGTACACCGATTTTCAGCTAAATGGAAAGACCCCGCCGTTTCCCGTTAAAATGTTTATTAGCCGTTAACTCGTTAACGGTGCAAAATACCGTCCCAAAGAGGTAGGTACATTTTCAGAATCAGCGCATCGAGGAGGCGCTGTACACCGATTTTCAGCCAAATCAAAAGACCCCGCCGTGTCCCGTTAAAATGTTAATTAGTCGTTTACTCGTTAACGGTGCAAAATACCACCCCAAAGAGGTACATTTTCGGAAGCGTATTGGAAAATTCTGACCTCGACGAGCGTCTGTGGTAGAAAACCACCACTTTGGTAGGGGAACCTACTGCTGTCTGCTACCATTTGCACTGCATATGTCGCTATAGCTGCGACATCTATGCATATACATATAAACCGCGAGATCTGTGTGCGCTACTTCTAGTTTGAGAATAGCTAGGGCACCAGGGTGGATCCAGACTTTCGGTTTGAGGCAGGGCCGGGGTGCGGAGCCGGAGCCGCAGCTGGAGCCGAAGCCTCCGGAGCCGGCATAT